GCAACTGCCATGAGAAACAAGTCTTGCGGGTACAGAGTCACGACTTTAATATTGAGAAACTCATGATAGCACTGGGTGCTGGAGTGGTAGATGTCTGAATTCTAACAGCAGTGGGTATGTGAGGGGGGTATTGTTTTGCACATCCTCTTTATGGAGGCTTTGTGGAAGTTCTAGTATCCTAGAGTCTAGTACAGTGCCCAAGCAGACAGAAAAATTGGAAAGTATCTGTTAAATTAAAGTCACTGTAGCATCTCAGAAAGAGTAATTTTCAAGTTGGACAGATTGGGATCTGAGTTCCTAAGAGATTCACGTGCTGCTTTCTAGACATCACTTATAGCTGTGTGCAAAGTCAGCTGCTTTACTGCTATAGCTGCTTTACTGCTCCAATGCATACTCTTTTTTTTGTTTTGTTTTGTTTTGTTTTTCGAGACAGGATTTCTCTGTGTAGCCCTGGCTCTCGTGGAACTCACTCTGTAGACCAGGCTGGCCTCGAACTCAGAAATCCACCTGCCTCTGCCTCCCAAATGCTGGGATTAAAGGTGTGAGCCACCACTGCCCGGCTCCAATGCATACTCTTAATAACAATTAGTCACCATTTATAGAAACAAAAGGGTTGTTTTTATTGAAGTTGCAACTTGCTTGTCAGACGGCTCTGTGTTGTTCTAGAAGGATTGGAAATACTAGTATGCCGAGAGAGGAGCTAACAAGAATCTGGAGACTAGACTCAGTGCTACTCTTCCATTTGGTAGAACCTTCTGAGTCGTTCTGGAATATTACCAGTCTCCTCCCTCTGCCAGAGGTAGGACTACATTTCCTGTCTTCCTTGAAGTTGTATCTAGTTGTCTGGCTTGTTTCATCCAACAACACTGGAGTGAATGGAGCTTCTGTAACTTCTGCACAGAGGAGCCAGTGTGAGAAACTCCAGGGTTCTCACTTCAAGCACCTGGTGAGGTGGACCTTGTCTGCCTTGACTTTAGGTGGGGATGCAGACCAGACCCATAGCTAGCTTTGACCATATGAGGGGAATATAACTGCTCTCTACCTCTGAGATTTCGAAATTGTGTTAAGCTACTGAGACTCTGGGACTATTTGTAGCTGTTGCATATGTTCTAGTTCATAGTGACTGCTCAAGTAAATTTAGAAACAATAACCTCAGAAAAAAAGAAATTCCACAAGAGTGCCCAGAGAGAAATGAACTTTGAAAATAGCTCTTGAATACTTATTGTAATGGATTAGTTTTCAAATTTTATGTGTGGGGTATGTGTGTGTGTGCATATGTATGTGCATGTATGTGTGCGTGCTCATATGAAGGTACATATAAAGGCAGAGATTGACATCAGGTATTTTCAGTCCCCAACTTGTGTATGTGTGTGTGTGTGTGTGTGTGTGTGTGTGTGGTGTATGCATTGTGTATGTACATATGGAGTCCAGAGCAGAATGCCAGGTGTCTTCCTCTACCAAGGTCCACCTAATTCTTTGAGACAGGATCTCTGACTGAACTTGAAGCTAAGCATGCATGCATGTTCATACGTGCATACATGTGTGTTCAGGGAATACAAATGAAGGTCTTCTCTCTTGTGTAGAAAGTGTTCCTACCTATTGAGCATGCCCCTCCTCCTTTCTCTGTCCCTTATGTTTTGAGTCAGTCTTCATTGAAGCTGGAGCTCACCAACTGGCTAGACTAGGTGACCCGCAAGCACTGGGGATTCCTGTCTGCTTTCCCAGTACTGAGATTACAGATGTGTGCTTTTTATATTTATGCCAGGGATCTAATCTCAGGTTGTACCTCCTCCTTGCAGTAGAAATGTTGCCATTTATAAGTTAAACTGGTGAGATGGTTAGATGGCTGTCTTGTTTATGACCTTACTCTTTCCTTCTATAAATTTGGCTTACTAAAAATATTTATGCGTGTTCCTTATGCTAAAGAATTTATTTTTCTTCATGAAAGGAAGGAAGGAAGGGAAATCTTGTAGTAGTTGGGAAAGCAGAGGCCTCAACAAACAGTGACCCTTATCCAAGCAGTCCTTCAAGAACAATAGCTCAGTTTTAGCTTACATTTCTGTTTCAAGAGTGTGTGCTAACCGTGGGCCTGTTGTTACATTTAGGATCTAGTTTCTGTCTTGTAGTTGCTGGTGTAACCTGACTGTAACTTATGTACCGTGTTGTAGTTAATTTGTTCTCATTATTGTGGTGGAGGAGCCTTTGTTTATCCACTGTGCTTTGTTCGACTCTTGTCTCATTCTGTACTCAGTACATCTGGTCTTAATGAACAAAGCTAGAGTTTTAGAAGCCAAAGTCTATTGCAAGCTGATAAAGGAGATTCTCCTAAATTTCCCCCAGAGTTAATAAGTGACAGTGGAATTTTGTCAGTTTACTTCATTTTAGAAATTGGATAAGAGAAAAGAAAGGTCACCTGCCAATTTCAAAATCTCATGCCACCTCTCTTAGTCTCAGGCACAATACCCTGTTGCATTTGTTCTGCAAGTGTTTGTTAGACCTCAGTGTATACATTTCTCTGCTTTGAATGTCATGGCATAAGAAAAATACACACTGCCTTTCACACTGTGTAACTAAAGGTACCAACACTGAAAGTACAAAACTCATAGTCATTAACCTTTCATGATCTCTCATGAGTGGGTGGCTGCTCTGAAGTATTTGGGGCTTTTAAGATTTAATATGTGCTAATCATTTAAGTTGCTTTTCTCCAAAAAATAAGAAGGAATATCACCCTTAGAAATGGGCAAGTCCAAGAGTCCATACTTCCTAGAGAAGAAAAAATTATGTTTCAAATATTATCAATACATAAAACAAAAATTAAAATTTTCTTCCTTTCTTTTTCCTCTTCCTCCTCCTTCCTCTTTCCCCCCCTTCTTCCCTTTCTCCTTCTTTTCCTCCTCTTTTTTTTTTTTTTTTTTTTTTTTTTTGGCATGGCCTATGTGTGTTAGCCCAGGCTGGCCTTGAATGTTTGTTCTTGATTCCACCCTCTGGGAATGCAGGCAGGTGCCACCATTCCTACTTTTCATATGCTTAATTAGTGTGTCCAGAAAAGAAGATTGTCAACAAGAGTTTAGTTTAAAGGCTTTGGCTTCTATCTTTATTTTCTCTTATTTGTCAAGTTTTTGGTAGCCTGTATTGCAAAGGGTGATAGCTGTAGGTGGTAATGGTTTATAGTGGTTTATCTTGCAAGGTTTGTTCCAGCCCTTAGAAGACTCAGTGTTACAAATATGGTTGGAACAGCTTATTTCTAGGGCTATAGAAAAGTAAATTTAGTAACAAAATTAAGTACCGAACACATTAGATTGTGCTAAAATATGGTATGTAAAACTATTGAGTCTTACTGCTTTTAACCTTCCAATAAGGTAGGTATTAGAAAGAAAACCAATTCCAATATTTAAGAATCTCGGTAACTTTCAGAGAATTCAATTTGCACCCTTAGTGTTTCCTGTAACATCATCTTAGTAGAATGAGTTTATAGATCATTTGTCTTTACCTTAGAGCCAGTGATAACTGTTGGGGAGCTGTTAAAATATTTCTCTGCCTATGGGGCTAGATCTTATGGGTGAATTTTTATTTACACATGAATGATAAATAAATGTGTAAATAAATGTAATTTTAAAAATTGTTTGGTTCTTGGAAGTTTCAGGCACTTGAATAATGCTCTCCAGAGCATGGTACGAATGGCTGCCAGCCCATAGCTGACTGACTCTTATTACCTGGCTATCTTATGATGTTCATTTTCCACTTACCTTAACATTTTCAGAGACCTTCATGACTACTGTCATGACACATGTTTTGTTTTCTTTTTTTAAAAAAATTCTGATTTACAGTTCTAAATTAGAAACTTCCTTCATCCACTCCCTCCTTGATAAAAATGAGGACTTTATTCTCTGCTTGAAAACAACAGTCTCATATTTTTTATCTCCCACAGAAGTGGCTGGAAGTGGCTGCCCTTCTCTATCAAGTCATAGGTCCTGTGTTGCACAAGTGCTGTGGAAAGGTGTTAGTTTGATTCTCTGCCTTTAGGTGCATGGTCTTAAAAAGCTTTGTAAAGAGAAAACTTGTACAACAGCACTTTTTTTTTTTTTTAATAGAAAGTTGGGTTTATAGCGAACCACATTACAGCTCCTCCTGCCTGGAAGTTGCTCCTTCATTGAGTCTGGACAGCAGCAGAAAAGGTCCTGATGCTTTGAGAAGCCCCTACTGCCTTTCCCACCCACTAGTCCAGATGATGCAAGTCTTCCCTGTAGTGGTTTTTCTGTCTAGAACACAGCCTGTGGCCCCAGCCTCCTGCCAGTCAGGGCATATGGACCATACTGCTGCCAGACATTCCTCTGTGGCCTGGCAGATATCTCAAGTTAGCACACAGCTTCCTGTGAAATACCTCACAACGAAATTGATATCAAAATTAAATTGCAGGAGGAGTGACAGAGCACCTGCTTGGCATCTCCAGAGCTGTGTGTTTCATTTCCAATTTCCTGTGCTCTTCTCCCTTTTTTTCCCCTCCCGGCACCTTGTCTCCCTGTAAAGTAAGGGAGATCACAATCATTATAGGGTATCTCATATCACTTCTTCTAAGTCCTAGAAGAAAACAAGGCTTGGACATCACTTGTCATTTGTGTTTTGAAAAGCTGTTGCAATATAATCAGTAGTTCTCTGACAATTATAATACAGTAACTAAGGCCTGGGGTAAAATTCTGAGTTCACCCTTCCTTGCCTAGCATACTGAGCATGAATTTTAATTATGCTAGCCTTCAATGTCCATGAACAGCATTGCTGACAAGTGTTTACCGTATAGTGTTGTGGTGCACTCTGAAGATTCATTTAAAGTGCATTAAAGTGATATTCCGTGCCTTAATAATCTTGACTCATTTATATCATTATCTTGAAATTCTATTTTTCTTAGGATAATATTACTGGAAAAGTTAAATAAAGTGGGCTCAAGAAGTTCTGCCTTCTACTGAATGCCTTCTTTTTACCCTCACTGCCTGTCTTCCCTGCAGAATGTGACAGGCTGAGGCGAGATGGCTGCCGAAGTTCTCAGTACTATTCTCAGGGACCCACCTTTGCAATCAGCTCCAGTCCATGCGACGATTATCAAGATGAAGATGCAGAAACAGACCAAAAGGTGAGGCCAAATTCAGCGTCAACATCTGCATCACACCCCATAGCACAGGAAGCTGATAGACTCAGAATAAACCCTTCATTTTAGCTGAGTACTGTCATGTCATGGGTTAATTTCTTGGTTTCTGTGATTGTATCTTGGTGGGAAACTGGTTGGAAGAGCCAATCAGAAGCTCTCAGTAGTTTCTTCAGTTTCTTCTCCAATGTAAATTTATTCTACTTTTATAAAGAAAGAAATTTGAGTTCAGGATCCAAGGAATACACAGAAGCTATACGGACTCTATATATTTGTACATTTTTAGTTACAAAGATGTCTTTCAAAAACGTGTCGCTTTCCCTGTGACCAGGAGCCTCGTCATCTCTCAATACCTCAGCCATAGTGAATGCCAACGATGGCTGCTTCTGAGCGGGAGAGGTCTGTTTGGATTGCAGTTTGAGGCATTCGGGACATGGCAAGTTACCAAACGGCTTAGGCTGCACAAGGTGTAATGAAGAGCATCTGATTCCAGCAAATATCACACTTCCAGAAGTGCTTGGGATGGGAGCTCTGTTCGAAAATGAAAGTTGTTGACAGAGCAGAGGGTGAGGGCGACTCATTAGAAAAGAGACCCTGAAGGGCACACATCCTGCTTCTTTCCTCTGGCTAATTGTGCTAGAATAATTAGCCTAATTGTCCTTATGCAAGAACTTGTACCAAGTGTAAGGCTTTACAATCTGTTTAAGGGATGAAGAAAGGTAGTTTGCTAATGAGAGCCACAGGTCCTTGACAGTGAATGTGGTAATGTAGTACGGAAAGAAAAAAAAAAAATTATTCTCAATTGTTTGTGCTGCATATTTAAAAAGCAAACAGACATGCCCTGAGGAAAAGTGCTGTCAGCAGAGAGGATTTTGAACTTCTAGAAAAAGCCTTTATGTTCCAACTGGAAATCAAAGAACAAGTCATCCCTCTTTGTTCTTGTGTTTAGCTTTTTCCTTCAGTGTTCAGTGCATGAAGGGTGAGCCATTACAGGTGCCAAAATGCTTCCTGCAAGTGGATAGGGGGTTCTCCAGGTGCTATGAGAGGCTGCATTTGATGGTGTGTTCATTGATTCTGGGAAACACGCACAGAGGCCTTATTGTCTTAGAGAAAGGTCACTGGGTGCCTCTTACATAAAATTTATCCTTGGAGTGATGGGTTGGATTGGAATTTTGGCAATAAATGGTTGGCCTTGGTGGTAGTAACAGAAACTGGAGCTGTCTTTTCTATTTCCTGTTATTTTCTGAACTGGCACCCTGGGGATGTTTTAGGCTTTGTTAAAGGAAATACTTAAATCAAAGGAAGACTTTGAAGAAAACAGCTGGAGCCTCCCTCATTGCTGTAACTGTGAACAGGAGGCTCATTTGCTCATTTAAACCCAATGCAGAGAGCACAGGCTCTAGGTGGCTTCTCCACCTGTACAGGCTGGTTCCTCTGCTTTCTTACATGAGCTTTGGTTTCTGTAACTGTAAAGAGATGAAACCACGTGTGGTTCATGGGGGACAACGCTGGTTCGCATCTGCTCTCCCGTGTAATTATTAATAGCACTGTTTTTGCTTTCAAAAGCATTGGAGTTTGAGATAGATGATATCACTATGCTATACACCCCTCGCCCCCAGAGTGTTTATAAAGTTAAGTATATGAATGCCTGTGAAGAAGCCCTGTGTACAGTGCTCGGAACAACATACCTTGTGCCTGGATAATGGTGATTACTTTTAGTAAACTTTTCAAGGCCAGACATCAAAGAAAGTGCCACAATAGACAATGTCTGTTTTATGAAAATTTGGCCATCCTCCCAATCATCCTGTCTCTGATTCTGCCCACATGGAGCTTTCTGCCTGAAGCAATGGATTTGAGTGCTTTTGGCAGCTACTTAAAAATGGTCTGATTATCCTGACTTCACAGGTCCTCTGTGTGTACAACTCTATCACGAGGCAGGCAGTTCCTTACTTTATAATCCTGGCCACATACTTTAGAACATCTCCAGAATTTGTCCCTTATCACCTTCCATTTTCCATAAGAATCCCATGAAATAGGTGCTTTGATGCTTGTTACTGAAATTTTAATGATTTGGAAGCTAAGGCTCAGAAATAGGGAATACTTTCAAATAATCACACAATCCCTAGACAGCATCAGGGAGGGGATGAGTTAAGAGCTTCTCAGATTCAAATTCTTTTCATTGTATCATGTTACTTATTAAAAAGATGACATTACTAACTGTACTCACCCCTCTCCCCCATTTCTGCATGATTGTAATGCCTGCTTCTGATGTCTCTCCATCTCTGACTTGCCTGATATTCATAGTAATGATTCTGGAGGGTTTGAGTGAGAAGTACCACGCTGCACCTTCAGTCTGTAAAGAGAATCTATTGCTGCAAAGGGAGGATTGAAATGAGTGATAAACAAAGCAGAGGCAGAAGACCAGTTACTGGGCTGGTGCAGTAACCAGGGTGTTAAAAGCTTTTATTAGTCATTGTACTGTCTACTTTTGTATGTCAGCTTGAAACAAAGTCGACAGAGAGAAGGAAGCCTCAGTTGAGAAAGGGCCTTCAGCTATAATGTGTTTTCTCAATTAGTGATCAATAGGGGAGGGCCTAGCCCATTGTGAGTGATGCAATCCCTGGGCTGATGGTCCTGGGTTCTATAAGAAAGCAAGCTGAACCGGCCATGAGAAGCAAACCAGTAAGCAGCACCCCTCCATGGCCTTTGCAACCTTGCTTCCAGCTTCCTGCCCTGTTTGAGTTCCTGTCCTGACTTCTTCAGTGATGAACAACAATGTGGAAGTGTAAGCCAAATAAACCTCTTCCTCCTAACATGCTTTTTATTTATGGTGTTTTATTGCAGTAATAAAACTCAGACTAAGATTGTCATCTTTCACTCGCTATAACAAATACTAAATAACCTGTTGTAAAGGGGCCTGTGGGGCCTGTGGAGAGGCAACATTTCACAGCATCAATGAGGAATGAAACAAAACCATTCACTTGTGACCAGAAGGCAAACATTCCAGAAAAGGAAAGGACCAGAGTTCCATTCTTTCCTTTGAGGGCATCCTCACCATGGCCTACCTCCTAACAATCCAATACTCTTGATAGCATGAAGCTGGAAAACACATGGAGTGGGCGTCCTACAGAGTGTCCTTCTTAACAGAAACCATAGGGAAGACTACCCCTGAGACTCAGCAGGGTTTTCCTGGTCTCTGTTATGTTTATAAACAGATTGGGCCTGGGAGTTGGATCATTCTGAAAGTCACTCACCCCTGGCTTTTTTCTTTAGTCGATGGTAGTACCATGAAACAGCCACATTTGCATATTAATTTTGTGTTCTGCTTGCCTGGGAAATTTGCTCATCAGAGAAGAGAGAGCTCTGAGGAGCTTGGTCAAATGGATTTGCTTTGTGAGTAAGTTGTCACACTGTAGCCTGCTCTGGGGTTCCTCCCATGGCAACCAAAACTGTGGGGGAAGTTCTGCCTCACTGTGAAATCTTTAGAGTCTGATATCATCAGCCATCTAAAAGGAAAGTAGGTTAGTGGGCCTGCTGAGCCTCCTCAGGGTGCTAGGGAGACAGACGAGGGGTGTTTGTTCCCAGTCCTTGGTCGTATCACATAATAAATGAGCTCCTCTGTTCTCCATCAGCCTAGACCTTCACTTTTCCTCTGTTCACGGCTTTTTGGGCAAGAATTGGTTCTTGCTACCTTCCAAATTTAATGCTGTGTTTCAAGCTGTTTTTTTTTTTGCTGGAGTAAGCTTCTAACTCACTCGTGGTTCCTTACCAGGCACGTGGCTTTTATACAAAATGCCATGAAAATTCTCAAATAAAATCAATTTTAATATATGTTTGTGTGTGTCTGCACCTTACAGATAGAGAAATAGGTGTTATTAGTCAGACTTAACAAAAATGTCAGAACCGCAAAAATATTGGGACAAGTGGACTTAACATCTGTGGTCTCAACTTCTGATACCTCAGAAATCCAATTGATGATCTTAATACTTAATTTATTTTATTTTTGTACATGTGTGAGTAACCACAGCCACAGTGTGCATGTAGAGGTCAGAGAACAAGTTGCAAGTCTTGGTATTTCTCTTCCTGTGGGTTCCTGAGATTGAATGCAGGTCATCAGAGTTAGTGGCAAGTACTTTACCTGCTGAATCATCTTGCTGGAATTTTCTAAGGAAATTTTGTAGAGATCTGTGTGAGGTCTCATCAGAACATTGGTGCCAAATAAGTTGTCAGGGACACATGCTCAACACATTGAGTGTATTTTTCAAGTTACAAATATTAACCCACATTTTCCGTAGATGGAAAAGAAATTAAGTGGTTTCTTTGTACTTTGTAAGGTAGCAACAATAAAAGTATATTTTGAGGTATTTAATGATATGATTTATATTTTTTATTTCCATGATGTTTTTATAATTGTTATTGTCCTTTTGCAATAAAAGAAAAAAAATGGTTCTTGTCAGTCCATGGGCTTTATTTTTCTAAAATCACATTTCTGTGTCTGCCATGCATTCTATTTAGTAGTCATGATCATGCACATTCATTACATTAAGAATAAGTACCTCCAGGTGCAGAAGGTAAGCAATGCAACTCTTCCTATCAAAGTAAAAAAAGAAAACGTTTCAGAGGCGGCTAGGACTTTGGAGTGTTGAGTGTGTGTTGTACACTGTCCGTGCGCTGATCACGGGCGGGGGAGCGGTGGTCCCGGGGCGTGTTGTTCAGTCGTGCTGGACGGAGCGGACCGCGGAGAGAAAGGCTTCTCATCCCCCTGTCCCGAGAGCTGACAGACAGCGGGAGTGGGGGGGGGGTGCAGGACACGAGCTGGCGAGGGCAGCCACGTGGCTAGCTAGAGTCCCTCCCCCGCCCCGCGCGGACAGGGGCGTGTGGGAGTCTTGACTTACATGAATCCGGAATTCAAGAGACATGTAGAGATTTAAGATGCATTGATTTATTAACAGACGGCGGGTTTGGGTGGTGTGGAGCTTTCCCGAAAAATGTTGGAATGGGTTTGCTTATATTAGAAGCCGGAGAGAAGGGCGGGGCCAGGGAAATCTTGAGGCAGAGACTTGTTCCCCCGCCCTCTACTTGGGACATGGAGACCTGTGCAGGGCTCTGGGGGCGTGGCCGAACACCCAGGATTCTACAGTCCCACAAGTGTGTCCCTTTGCTGTTTTTCAGATTTGTGTCAGTCAACTAGTTAAAGGGATGGGTATTTTGCAGGAAGTTCGTTTCAAGGCACTAAACAGTGGTAGCATTAATCTTGTGTCTGAGATGATGGAGTGACATCTTTCTGTATTTCTATTTCATTTGTATCCCCTTAGAAACTTTCCTTACATGCCAGAAGGCATCCAGATATACCATTGAAAGCTGGAAAATCGCCACAAATTCAAAGAAGCCATGAGAAAGAGCTGACAATATAAGTTCCTTTGTCAAATAACATGAAATGAAGCTCTATAGCAGTTTAGGGGGATTGGCTAAAAGAGGTTGAGTTGATCTGGGAGCTGCTTACACAGGTATCTCCGTTGGGAAGGTTCACCACCCTTTATTCTTCAATAGGATTCTCCTTAAACACCTTATTTCCATGGTGATACTTCAGTTCAAACTCTATAAACTTGGTTGGTCCTTTGACATTTATTATATATCTTAAATAGCTATCTCTTCATAAGAACCAGCCACTCTTTTGTTGTTCTTTTGATTTTGCTCTTGTTCTTAAGCATGGTGCATTTATTTTGAGTTCTTGGGTCACCCTCATTACAGAACTGGCTGCCCACAAGCTCTTGTGAAGTCTTGCATAAAATGTTTGCCAACACAGCTTTCTCGATTACACATCTTTAGGTGTTGCAGGAGAAGAGCATTGAAGAAGTGGGGATGCCAATCTGTATGTAAATATCATCATGGAATTCTGATGAGGCCCAGAGCACCACATTAGTCAGCCTCTTAAAACTTAACAATTTCACATTGATATTTTTTGTAATCCATATAGATGGCTTTAGAAGCACACAAATAGTTAAACAGTGAAATGATTCTGCCATTTCAAACCATTCCTTCAGGTCAAAGCCTGAGGAAATAAGATTGAAGCTAGAAATTACTTTGAGGGATACTGAATTTTAATACAATTAGAAACTGGTGGGCTTAGCTATGACTTTTCTCTGGGCTTCTAGTGTTCTTCTAAGTCCATATGCTTTCTAAACACGGCTCAGCAAAGAAAACTGGAAGGCTGCAAAGGCCCAGTGGGTCAGCATATTGACATTTTCCAGACAGTGGAAAGGTGAATCATATATGTGGAAGGTCATGTGCAAGAGGTTGTTGCTCTGTTCTTAAAAGGAACCATTCTTGAACTTGTTATAAATTAGTCTAATTTTTTAAATAAACCATATTTGTAACTTTTCCTGCTAAATATACACCCCCCCAATCTCTCTCTGCAGTGTTCTCTCTCTTCATCTGAAGAAGAAAGATTTATCGGTATCAGGAGACCTAAAACGCCAACCTCAGGTGACTTCTCCGGCCTTCATACTCAGACGAACTGGACCAAGTCCCTGCCACTGCCAACACCAGAAGAGAAGACACGGCAGCAAGCCCAGACGGTTCAGGCTGATGTGGTTCCTATTAACATAACTGGTATGGTTGTGGTGTGGACAGAGTCAGGGTGTCTTTGGGAGAGCACTGGTAGCTTTGTTTGCTCTATGTTGTGAACATTTTCTTTATGTATCTGGCCTCCTGTTCTTTGTTTGATGGAGGAAACACCCCAGCTACATATGTGTGTGCATGAAAAATACCTATTGTTTGTTAGATAAGGAGACCGACAACAAATGTTCTGTCAGAGAACGCTGTGGTTCAGACAGTCATTTAAAAGATGGCTTTTGAGTTGCACTGTTCTTAGCTGAGATTTTAGTTACGTAGGAATGTCCTGTAAATGTGGTCCTTAGCATCAAAAATTATATACTCCCATAAGAAATATTTCTAGAAATGAAAAAACAATTTTCGTTATGTTTCTGATTTTCTTACCCTTGTCTGTTCAGATAGAAAAAGAAGGAAATTCTTGAGAGAAAGGCATCGAGTAAATTAATAACCAAAGCATATCTTTAAAAAAAAAACTTAGTAGAATGATAAAAGTATGCCTTAGTTTCTATAATTTGAGTCTTAAACCTCAAATAAAAATCCATTTCTAGCAAGGGAACAACATTAAGAATCGGCACATTGGCTGTACTGTGGCCAATTGCCAGGTTGAATCATCAACCTACTTCGATGATTTAAGGCAATAAGTAACAAAAGACAGCTCCAAGCCAAACTTCACAACTTTAGAAGAACTGTTAAAAAGAATCAAATTTGTCATCTTCATCCTTTCTGCAATCTGCAAAGAGTCAGTGGTATGGGAGGATGCAAAATACAAAATGTTAAAGAGTTGGCAGTAACTGGAAAAGGCCCCGAGTTCAGACCTCAGGGAATGCACACGCATGCACTTGTACACACACACACACACACTAGTAGCATCCACCATCTAAGTATGGTGTATTACATAGAAATAAATGATGACTGTTAGACAAATCCACACAGAGCCTGGTCCCAATGTCCTTAAATTGGGCTGACCAAAAGGAAGCTATTTAATTAACAATTAGGATGAAACTCCATAGCATCCTTCTATCTTCTGAGGATATTGCTGTTAGAAGGCTTGTTCCCATGGTACTCTTAAACTTTGCAAGGGCTAATAACATTTAGATATGATGTATTTAAAAAATATCTTAAAGTATATTTGGAAGTTATGTTTAGAATTTCTATGGAAACTTGATTAATAAGTCATGAATTATTTTCAACCCTATGTATACTTTTTATATTTTTACAAACTTAAGCCTTAAAGAAACAGCATGACATTTTAACATTTTGTTTGTAAATAGCATTGCTGATCTCCATGAATGCACCTTCCTTTCACCTAGCTCATATCTTTAAAGTATTATGTTTTTAAGTAGCTCTGCTGCAGAACAGTATGATTGTTACTGCCTATTTCATTAACCATTGGTATGTTTATATTCTCTACAAGATGATTAAATGAGAAGACATTAATTATATAGGATTAAAAGCATCAACATAATATTATAAACTATACATTTTTGCTGTGAAACATGACAACCATTAAAGGGATTGAAGTAAAAGATCCCGCCTTGAAGTGGGGCTAGTAAAAATAGAGTTTTCAAGCATAAAGAAGTGTTTGTAGTGAAGTACATCCTTCCAGATGGATCACCAAGTTGTTTCTCTGAGCTTCTATTCTTACCTGTTTGGCATCTAAGTAGATTGGATTTCGTAGATATCAGAGGAGGCTTTTGAATGCTGCTCCTCGTACAAGGTGAATGAATGCTAACAGTGATGCAGCGGGCAGCCTGAGTCCTAGAAAACACAATCTGTTTTTCATTGAGTTGTTAGCATTTCCACAGTATGTTAATGCATATTTAACAGTTAGGTACCTGTCAATTTGTTTTCTGGATCTGTGTGTTCACATAGACACGCACTTCTAAAGTATGCATTTCTCTTATCTGGTCTAAAGAAGCCATAAGTTTAAAGCTTTCAATTTGGGTGGTTAGACTGGTGCAGGTTCTTCCTCAGCCTCCTGCTCTTTAAATTATATCTTTCTAAAATTCCAAATTTCTTTAGATAGAAATGCTATTCCTTGTAGGAAATAGTTGCATACTTATTAATCTGAGTGATTATGACCCTCTAACTTGACTCTCGTAAGGCTTTGGAAAAACAAATCCCAATATGTACAAGGCTTCAAATCCAGAGTAGAGCCTATCAGGCCTAGGGATGCAGAACAGAAACACAGTGAGCCACTAGCCTGAAAGAGGATTTAATCCCTTTAGTTACAGTCTTGTAGAGACTTGGTATGTTCTAAAGGTTAAGGAGGGGAAATGTTTTAAATAAAAAGAACACGTGACTATACCCCATCATTTGCCACGTGGATCAAGTCTTCTACCTAAAAGATAAATGTGTGGATCAACACATTCAGAAACCATTTGCAAACTGTTTTGCACTAATGTTTGAGCTGACGCTGTGTAGGAGAGAAAGAGAGCAATTCAGTTGAACTGATAATTATCTCCTAATTACATGGCACTGGACATTAGGTGAGTGCTGTTGTTGATGCCAGGGTGCAGAAGTCAGCCTCTACTTAATGAACTGTGACATAGCCTTTTAAGGTCACAATGTGAATACTTTTGCCCATTTTTAATACCATAGAAGGAGTATCTTTTTTTCTGCTGCAGGAAACTAATAAAACACTGAACAACTTCCGTTTTTAAGTCCTGACATTTCAGCAGGTCTGAAATTCCTTCTGTTTTTCTCCAATTGGAGCAAAGTTGCAAAGATTTTCAAATTTACAAGCATTTATTAGATCACTCCTCAGTAGATGATATTTGTTTTAATGAGACCAGGTCCACATGTCATTCCTATGTGTATATCTACCACCTAACCACTTTGAAGCTATGGTAGCATTACTGAGCAAGAATGACAATTTTGTACATTTCTCATGCTTAAGAGGATAGAAGTATGTGAATACATGTTTTTAATCTCATTTTAAAGATAGCAACTATGTAAAAAGGCTAAACACTGCAAAACTTCCTTTAATCAAAATGTGCAGAACAGACCAGTCTGTAACTGATTCTGTCAGGGACAGTATTATTTTCTAGTTTCTCATAATGTGCTAATCTGCTTGAATTCTGGGTTAACTCTGTGGGTGTGGTATTGGGGCCCCATTGTCTGAAATGGGAATCACTTTAAAAGATGCTGATAGGAAGTGGGGATGTAGCTCGTTGATAGAGCACATGCCCACCGTGTGTGAGATCCTGGTCCAAGCCCTAGCTCCTTAAAAATGTTCTGAACAAGAAAGGAAGAGTTTGGCTTTGACAATAGCAGTGTTGCTGGCTCTCATTGTGATGAAAGTACTTTATCATTATAAGGTTTTGGTTTCCATTAAAATTGTCTCTCATACTATAATGCAATGGTTCTCAACCTTCCTAATGCCATAGTCCTTGAATATAGCGCCCCATGTCATGGTAACCCCCAACCATAAAATTATTCAATTGCTCCATCATAACTGTTATTTTTCTACCGTTATGAGTCATAGTGTAAATATCTGATATGCAGCTCCCATGAAAGGGTCATTCAACCAACCCCAAAGGGGTTACAGCCCACAGGTTGAAAAACACTGCTGTAATGATTTCACACCCCATCCAAATTACTAGCCTCCTTGACCAACATTTGGTAAGCTCAGACTTGGACTTGCCATTACACACTACCATGATACTAGTCTTTGTGGGGTGACTAGATGAATACAACCTCCCTATTGCCATTAATACACACCAATACAAAGATTAATCTTTGTGATCAAAGTACTTTATGAAGCAGTCACTAGTCAGGTGATTTGTTCTCAAGTGATGAAGAATCATTTTGCGGTGTGTTATTAACATTCTGAAGTGTGTAGAGGGTGCCTTCGCCTGAAGGACACACAGCAGATGCTGGAAACAGCCTTCTGATGATAATGTGCTTTTCTTCTTCTTTTGCTCCTCAAGTCTCCATCATTCATGTGACTGTCTAACCTCATTATTAATACTTACCATTTTACAAGCTTCTGGAAGGATGCGTGTGAGCGGTGTTGGCTTGCTTGACGATAACATTGCTTTGCTTGTTCTACTATTCTACATTAGGGGAGAATTTCGATCGTCAGGCCAGCCTTCGGCGGTCTCTAATTTACACAGACACTCTGGTAAGACGACCGAAGAAAGTCAAAAGGAGAAAAACTATTTCAGGAATCCCTGACATCATTCAGAAGGAGCTAGGTATGGCTCACCAGCATTGCATTCTGTCGCGTTTCCTTGCTGCTTGAATTTACCACACTAACCTCATGTGGGTGCTCTCAAATCCACACGTTCTGATAGCCAGCTTCTGGAAGAGGTCTTAGGTGAATGTTGCACCCTGTGCAGGTGAGCTGCTTTGGAAAAGAAGGATGGGGAAGAGGGTTATGGAAACTTAGCACAATGGAAAGCAAGAATTTCATTATCATCTCCAGAGACCTTGAGCATTGGTTATATCTATGATTCAGTTTATTTTTCATCTAGATCTTTTATTTGGATCTTGGGTTCTCACAGATGAAAACCTCATTCTAATCCTAGCAATGCTGGTGGTGTGAATCCTGGCAATGCTGGTGGCGTGTCATAGAGGTAGCAGTCTGAGGTGATTTAATAGTAAATGTCAGTGCTAGAGAAAGTGGTTACCTGAGTTGATCCCTGGAACTAACATAGCAGAAGGAGAACCAACTCCCGAAAGTTGTGCTCTAACCCACACATGTGCCAAACATGGCACACATGTAATAAGTACATTTAACAGAAGTATAAAATATGGTCATAATACTTCCATCTGAAGCAAACAATTTCATAGCTTTTGTTTAACTTAGAAACAAAGCAGGCTGGAGGAGTTGTTTAGCTCAATGTCTGCTTCCCCGTTGTGTTCGTACTTGTTTTTCCAAATGCTGTATAATGCTTTTGTGCTTCTCCTGCAATCATTTCCTCCCCTTGTGTATCAGTGGTGCCCAGCAGGAGAGTCTGCAGGGCCAGCTTAGCAGAGCTCCAGCAGCAAGC